AAAAGATGAAATTCTAATATTCAATAGGCATATGAAAAGATGTTCAACATTATTAGTAATCAGGAAAATCAAATTATGAAATGCCATTTATACCCACTAAACTATACAGGCAAAAATTAAGAAGTCTGATAATACCGAGTTTGGGCCAGCAGGTGGAGTAATGAGAACTGTTGAACACAGCTATTAAGGGTGTTTAAACACACCTAGTTAAGTTGAAGGCTTTCATACTCCATAAACCAGTTAGTTATTCCATTCTTAGGTAAATACTCTAAAGACACAAGTGTTTACTCACACTACCAAGAAGCCAAAAAGTGAAGATAATCTCACCCCGATAAAATGGTCATTATCAAAAAGACAAAAAAATAATAGATGCTGGCCAGGATGCAGAGAAGGGACAACTCTCATACACTGTTGGCAAGAATGTAAATTAGTACAGCCACTATGGACAACAGTATGGATGTTCCTCAAAAAATCAAAAATAGAACTACCATATGATCCATCAATCCCACTACTGAGTATATACCCAAAAGAAAGTAAACCAGTGTATCAAAGAGATATCTGCACTCCCATGTTAATTGCAGCACTCACTATTTTCAATAGCCAAGATATAGAATCAACCTAAGTGTCCATCAACAGATGAACAGAGACTGGGCGTGGTGGCTCACGCCTATAATCCTAGCACTCTGGGAAGCCAAGGCCGGCGGATTGCTCGAGGTCGGAAGTTCGAAACCAGCCTGAGTGAGACCCCGTCTCTACTAAAAACAGAAAGAAATTAATTGACCAACTAAAAATACATATACAAAAAATTAGCCGGGCATGGTGGCGCATGCCTGTAGTCCCAGCTACTCGGGAGGCTGAGACAGTGGGATTGCTTGAGCCCAGGAGTTTGAGGTTGCTGTGAGCTAGGCTGACACCACAGCACTCACTCTAGTCTGGGCAACAAAGTGAGACTCTGTCTCAAAAAAAAAACACAGATGAACAGATAAAGAAAATGTGGTATATATACACAATGGAATAGCATTCGGCCATAAAAAAGAATGAAATCCTGTAATTTGCAGCAACATTGATGGAATTGGAGGTCATTATATTAAGTGAAGTTAGCCAGGCACAGAAAGACAAATATCACATGTTCTCACTCATATGGGAGCTAAAAAAGTTGATCTCATGGAGGGACAGAGTAGAACTATGGTTACCAGAGGCTGTGAAGGGGACAGGGGAAGAGAGAGTGAAGAGAGATGGTTAATGGGTACAAAAATACAGTTAGAGGGAAGGAGTAAGTTCTCATGCTTGATAGCACAGTAGGGTGACTACAGTTATCAATTTATTCTATATTTCAAAACAGCTAGAAGATTTGGAATGTTCTCAACACAAAGAAATGATAAATGTTTGAGGTGATAGATATCCCAATTACCCTTATTTGATCATTACACACTGTACACATATATGAAAATATCACATGTACCCCATAAATAGGTACAATTATTATGTATCAATAAAATGAATTAAAAGACTGGAAATAACTGGCATGTCCTTCAAAATTATCATGGGTAAATTGTGACATATTCCTACAGTGGTATAAACTGTACAACAATAAAAATGAACCAACTACAACTATCTGCAACAACATGGATGAACCTCGCAGACAATGTGGAGTGGAAGAAGACAGTCGTAATTCCAAGTTTATAAAGTATATAAAGTTCAAACATCTGTAAAACAAAGCTGTTGTTTAAGGATGCTTATGAGAAAGATAAAACATATAAATAAAGGCAAAGAGATGATTATCACAAAAGACATGATGGGGGCCACCTCTAGGATGGAAGGCCTTAAGAGGTTCTCTTTCTTATCCTAGGTGCTTATTAATGGGTGATAGCTTCATAAATGTTCTTTTAACTGGAAGTTCTCTCCTCTTTTTTTAATGAAATAGAAAGCAAGGTCACTAGTTAGAAATGAAGGGGGTGTTAAAAGTTTTGAAGAAAGGAAGATGGTATGAAAGAAACAGAGACATTGGAGAGGGAACAGAATAGGGAAATAAACTATTTTTTATCTTATTCTTTTATAAAACCTTTTCGCTTTTGTCCATACTTATTATACTTTTTCTCTCATATACAACATTATTTATTAACTTTACTATACTATATTATATGTAGTTGTCCCAAACAGTTAAATTGTATTGGTATTTAATGCTTAAAAATAAAATTTAAAAGCAAAATTAAGTCTTAATAACCATATCATTATGATAATTGTCGTAAAATATGAGTTCTTTAATATTTCACCTTGAGCTTTAGTAAAGCTGATGTAGTTTATATTTAGTCAAATATATACATAGCATGCATGCAGAGATTGTGTAATGGCTTTTTATTCTTTTTCTTTCAACTTTCTATATACCAAGTAGCTTTAGTGTTCAATTCTACATTTTATAAGTCTTTAAACAGATCTAGGTATTTATCTCCTTATTTTATTGATCATAACTGCTAACAGTAATTTTTTTTTTTTTTGAGACAGTCTCGGTTTGTTGTCCAAGCTAGAGTGAGTGCCGTGGCGTCAGCTTAGCTCACAGCAACCTCAAACTCCTGGGCTCGAGCGATCCTTCTGCCTCAGCCTCCCTGGTAGCTGGGACTACAGGCATGCGCCACCATGCCCGGCTAATTTTTTATATATATATCAGTTGGCCAATTAATTTCTTTCTATTTATAGTAGAGACGGGGTCTCCCTCTTGCTCAGGCTGGTTTTGAACTCCTGACCTTGAGCAATCCGCCCGCCTCGGCCTCCCAAGAGCTAGGATTACAGGCGTGAGCCACCGCGCCCGGCCCTAACAGTAATTTTTTAAACATCAGAAAATATAACCACATTAGCATCACAAAGAAAAATATAAATATTGACATTTAAAATTCCTAGAAAACTAAGACACTCTTAAACTTTACGCAGAAGATTTAAATGGAAAAAGTTGAGAGGTCTATATAATTTTACAATATTGTCTAGGTTTTTATATGAACCAATTTGTAAAAATAAATTATTTAAATTATAACATGTTATCATTATAAATCCATGTTTATTTATAATTGCATAGCTTCAAGTTTCATACATAATGTAAATTTAAAGTTTTTATAAAGCTGAATATGGTAAATTTAAACAATTACCAGCCATTTCGCTTTAAAATATGCTCTGAGAGGAAAAAACACAAACTGTTTTTCCTCTGCTCTCACACCCCAACCATCAACACAGAAGACTTCTGTGACCAAATGTGTGGGGTTTTCCCCACACACCAAGGAAGCAGTCAATTCTGCAGCAGACACCAGCTGAGTGTCCTCCATTTCAATTCTGACACTATCTACCTGGAGATGACATCAGATCCCACAGGTTGAGGTCTCAGTCCCATATGACTGCCCCTTACTTCAGTTGCCAATAGCAAGTAGTAGCTTGTCACCTATACTTCAGAATGACTGGCTATAAGTTGGGGGTTTCCATGATCCCCTCTTTGGGTTCAGTTAATTGGCTAGAGTGGCTCACAGGGCTAGAACTCAGGGAAACATTTACTTTTACAAGTTTATTATAAAGGATATTACAAAGGATACAGATCAAGAGATGCATAGGGCAAGGCACGTAAGAAAAAGCACAGAGTTTTCATGCCTTGCCTGGGTGTGCCACCCTCCAGGAACCTCCACATTTTCAGCTATCCAGAAGCTCCCAGAACCCAGTCCCTTTGGGTTTTCATTATGTAGGCATAACTGATTGAATCACTGGCTGTTGGTGATCTTAACCTTCATCCTTGTCCCCTTCCCTTGAGATGGAGGGTGGAGGGGCTGAAAGTCCCAACCCACTAATTGTGCCTTGATCTTTCCAGTGACCAGACCTTGTCCTGAAGCTTCCTAGGGTTTGCCAGCCACCTATGAATCATTAGCATACGAAAAGATACCACTTTGGAGATTGTAAGGATTTTAGGAGTTGTATACCAGGAAACAGGGTCAAAGACCAAATATACATACATTTCACAATATCATGTGAGTTTTCAGGTTATAATATTCTGGAATAACTGTACCATTGTCACAGAGACAGAACACAGTCTTTCTTAAAGAATTTGGATCTACAAATATTAAATCCAGTAATATTGAAAATTGATGTATGTAACTCTCAGAGAGTTCAGGAAAATAAAACGCATGTGTGTCTATAGACAGAATGCACATGTAAATAATGAAGCAAATGGTGTAAATGTTAATATCATAATAGGTGAATTGGGGTAAAGGTATGTGGGTGTTCTTTATGTTTTATCTATGCTTGCAACATTTCTATAGGTTTGAAATTAGTTTTAAATAAGTAGTTAAAATGAAGAAAGGGACATGACTGAGACTGTGATGTAAGTGGAAATTGAATGCATCTCTCGGATAAAAATGAGGGAGTGATGGTAGTTTATCCCCTTATTTTCAGCTTAACAACCAAAGCCATAACCTAGGTTTATAATGTTTTTTCCTTCTGAGAGTTAGTTTTTAAATATAACTGGCTGCTGTTCTGTTTTCCCTTTCCTTCTGCTCTCCGAGTTTTACTTCCTTCAATCCACAAGTAGTAGACTGTCGCAACCCATCCAGATCTGCAGATACAGAAACTCATCTTCCAGATCTTCCAGACCAGCCATTTTCTGTTGCCTAGGTGGCAAACACTTTCTGATATCATATTTCCAACAACTGTATCTTTAATTTCTGTGGCATATAGTGAGGAATCATCACTGCTAGATCTACAATCAGGCATGACAAATAAAGGACAGATTTGGTTCAGTAAGGAGGTCCAAGTGGAGGGCATTATCATAATATCATCTATAAGGGGAAAACTATAACACATGTCATATTGGAAATCCTCAACATTCCAGAGTTGAAACAAACAGTTATGCAATGTGATTCCGTTTGTGACATTTCAGTTCCTAAAGTGGTGCTCGTAGCGAATATGCCATCAATGACACAAACTCGTCAAATGTTCCAATTAAAAGTAATTTTTATTATTGTTATTATTATAATCAGCAGCATCATTATCATTATTAGCACAAAACTAAATCAACTATTAAAAGAAAACAAAAGCACACGCCAAAGGCATGTGTCTTGCTTAAAGTGAGTCAATAATATTATCTTCACGTATAAGGGACAGCACCCTGAGGATATAGACCATATCACAGCTTGATAATCAATTCAGTAATTCAGCCAACATTATTGAGCACCTAGGCACAATGGAGGATTTAAAAATGCATACAAGAATCCCTGCTTTCAAGAAGTTTTACAGTCTAGTAGGAGGTATTAAGAACACAAGAACACAGGGCCACATGAGATCAGTGACATAATGGAGACAGTCCCATGCCATTGAAAAGGGGTTATCACAAGAGACGAATGTCACATTCAGCTAGGGAAATCAGAAGAGGCTCCATAGAAAAGGTGGCATCTGAGCTGGGATTTGAGGAAATGGAAGGATTCTGGCAAACTGGCACGTGGAGAAAGAAGGAACACTGCCGGTGGAGAGAATAGTGTGGGCCTAAGAATGGCCATGGGAAAGTTCATGGCATGTTTGGGGAGAGAACGAATAGTTCATTTAGGCTGGTGTACGGGCTCTATGTAAGTGTGCATGGTATATTGACAGTTATATAAGGACCGTATTTTGAATGACAGGCTAAGATTTCTTATCTTCATATCACAGTAACTATATTTATCTACATCAATAAAATATGCAATTATTTGTGAAGAGATATGGTCACTTCATTTCCAGATTTCTTAGGGAAACTCAAGTGGTTTCCAGGCAATCTTATCACCTTGCTATCAAAAATGTCCCAATAGATAACAACAAGCAACCTATAGTAAATGTTTCTATTTTGCATGTAATTAAATCTCTTCCATCAAAGTCTTTATTCTCTTCATCCAGGGACCACACTTCTTCTCACTTCCATCTCCACCTGGTAAGTTGAGGCAAGCCTAAGTTAGGATTTCCAGCCACAGCTGTTACCCTGAAACTAAGACCTACAGTCCTGAGAAGTGAGAGTGGTGGGCAGAGAGGCAGTGAACAATGTCATGATGATGTAGCCATCTGAGAAATGTTATCGACTCCCCATCTTAAGCGTCAAACATAGGTCTTTGAAATTGGAGTACCACTCAGATTGGTCTGGAGGACACCTGGAGGGGTCCTAAAACTCACAGTGCCCGAGTAAGGTCATCTTTTTGTTTCTTCTTATTGTCAAGGAATTCCTTAAAGGAATGACAATCTGGGTTACAAGTTATTTAAAGGCCTCTTAGTTCTGAAGCTACTGAAGCTGTGGAGAGACTGGTGTGGCTTTTTCTTTCCGACTAAAGAATCCTGTTGGGCTCTGTCTGTGCCCAGCAGGCTGGTAGTTGGGAACTTCTCCCATGCAATGAGGTTACAGATGCTAAAGAATGGCTGTATTAGGTAGCCAAGCCAAAGAAGTAAGCTATATAGAACCAGGGAAGGTTTAGAACGACAAAGATGCCTTGGCCATACTTCCTGCAGCTAGTCAATCTTCAGCTCTTTCCTGGAGTGAGACTTTCTCTGCAGGAAGTCATGGATTGCCGTAGTGAGGCCCCATGTCACGCTGGACCTTAGGATGACCAGGGAGCCTCCACGGTAGATTAGGAGCAACTTTCGGCCTCGAGTGTCCCACACATTCCGGGCAGAGGCCCACAGGCTTGGCATGCTCTGCCAGCCAATATGGGACTGCATATTGGCAACCAGCACAATCAGAGGATACAGAACTAGGCAGGTGATTGTTCCATTGACACTACCAGACACCAAGGCAGGAACCCAATGGGGCAGGCCTTGCTCTGCCAAGCCCTCCTGGATGGGGTCTTTGAAAGAAAAATATAAAGCACTCCCCAGGCTGTTCCTGGCAAGGACAGGCCAGAAACCACGATAGTAGCCCAGTGACAGCCTCCCCCAAAGCCCGTAAGAGTTGAATTCCTTGAGAATGCTGAAGGTGCTGGGGAAGCGAGCTTGCTTGCGACCATCCTGGAGCACATTTTGCACCCTTTCAAAGGGGCTGAGTGCCACAGCCTCCACCACACCAGACATGAGCCCTGCAGCCCAGCGGTGTCCCAGGGAGTGTGGCCCAACAGGGGAGAGAGAGCACAACAGGCTATCATAAGTCCCAAACAGTAGAGTCCCTTGCAATGTCTTGGAGAGAAGAGGAGGGTAGATGCCCCGGTAGAAGTACTGAGGACCTTCATGCCAAAGCTGTCTCACAGCCTCCGACATCCCCACAGCATGGATCTGTTGCCGGAACACTACCTTATAGATGGGAAAAGTCAGAAAAGTAGACATGAAGTTGGAAATGGCCCCAAGGGCATAGGCCTGGGGGTGCCAGCCTTTCTTTCCTGGAGCCTCTGCTCGCGTCCTGTGCTGAATCTCCTTTCCAGAAGAGTGGCTCTGCTCCCCCATGCTGAAGACAACTGGATGCAGATGTAAGAAACTGGCAATGGTGGAAAAACAGAGGTTAGACTGACCGTTGAAATCTGTTGGCAAGCATTTTCATTGGTTAGTTAGAAACCGGCCCCAAGAAACTCAGGTAGAAGGAAACAAGCAACTCTTGGGGCCAGTTTGTGAGAAATCAGCACACCCCTAAGAAATTGAGAATTTGTTAACCTGAACTTAAAACAAAGGCAGTTAGTTTTTCTGGACAGAGCCATATCTACGGTATTTTGCTGACACAGCAAATATTCCGATATTCAAAGAAGGATTACACTGAAGAACATGAAATCAAGGAGGGGAAGACTCCAAAACTTAATGTATTCAACTTTCACGACATGTAACTTTGCATTGCACAAACCACTAGAATTATAAGTTGCTATTCCCTTTCCAAAAAAAAACCCAAAGTGGCACTATCTTGTAGAGGCAGAAAGGCATCCCATAGTTGAAGTGTGATACTTTCTCTAAAAGTTGGTAGTAAATTTGGGGAGGGGGGAAATCTCCCCTGCCTTTCTCTCAGTAGATTCCTGCCCCAGTTGTAGCCGTTTCATGGCAACGCCCCACCCCCTCCCCCAAGTGAGGAAAGGAAAAAGCGGCTGCTCCTGGAAGTTCAATGCCAAAAGGCTCAGCACCTGGAAATTTCCAAGCCTAACTTTGTAGACCTGTAGCTATATAATAGAGCAGGCTTTCTCAACCTCGGCACTTTTACATTTTGGGCAGCATAATTCTTTCTTGTTGATGCCTATCCTGTGTATTGTAGAATGTTTAGCAGCTTCCTGGCTTCTACTTACTGCATGCCAGTAGCACCAGTTGTGAACTACCCAGTGTGACGACTAAAAATATCGAGACATTGCCAGACGTCCTCTGGGAGGCAAAGCTGCCCCTGGTTTAAAACCATCATTCTAGAAAGAATAGGCAGCGCGAGGACTCCGGACTATTGCTCCTATCCCAAAAAGGCCAGGAAGCAGGTGGGGTAGTATGAGAAGCAACTTGGGAGCCAAGACACAGGAAGGAACTTTGGAATCAAAAAGAAATAAATGCTCAGTCTACGGCCACACCACCCTGATCGCGCCCGATCTCGTCTGATCTCGGAAGCTAAGCAGGGTCGGGCCTGGTTAGTACTTGGATGGGAGAAATAAATGCTCAATACAGACCTGAGGACCTGAGGGAGTTTGTCGGGAAGGAAATAGGGGCTCTCTGGCCTGAGAAGACAGGGGGTGCAGCAGCGGGACCTGCTGCATCCGGGAGAGGAAAGACAGAGTTGTGTGGGTAGCAAAAAGAAGGAGGGGGAGAAGGGGAGAGGAGGGGAGGGGCTGACGGCCAGGCTGTAGGACGCACATCTACATTGGCAGGGACAGACAGGAAGCCTGGTAGGAATTGTAGCCCCACAGGTTTCACACAGAACCCTGTGCTATGTGAAGGGGGGGGCGCTGTTGGGACTCCAATTAGGCTAGCAGGCAGTGGCCCCAAACCTGGGCAGGAGGCAGCTCCACTCAGGCCCCAAATGCACAGGGGCCCCAACACTCCTCAGCTCTCCTCCCAAGGGCATTTTCCCCCAAATCTTACCTGCACCTAAATAAGGACAGAGGAGATTTGTCCCCTCTTCTACCTCAGAGTCCAATAATGTTCCACTTCCTTCTCACCTTTTTTCTTTTTTTTAAGACAAAGTCTCACTCTGTTGCCCAAGCTAGAGTGCCGTGGCATCAGCCTAGCTCACAGCAACCTCAAACTCCTGGGCTCAAGCGATCCTCCTGCCTCAACCTCCCAAGTAGCTGGGACTACAGGCATGTGCCACCATGCCCGGCTAATTTTTTACATATACATTTTTAGTTGTCCAGCTAATTTCTTTCTGTTTTTAGTAGAGACGGGGTTTCACTCTTGCTCAGGCTGGTCTCAAACTCCTGACCTGATCCTCCCACCTCGGCCTTTCAGAGTGCTAGGATTACAGGCATGAGCCAGCACTCCCGGCCCCCACCTTTTTATAAATGTGTGTGTGAACTCCATAAGGCAGGCAGATTTAGCAGAAAGAAAACTGGACAAGGATTTGACAGACCAGCATTTGAAGCAACCATTTTGTTATCAATTTTCTATGTGACCTTTAGGAATTCACTGACATCTTGGAGCTTCATCTACCTCAGCTATAAAATAAGCAGAGAAGGCAAAATGCTGTGTAGGCATCCCTATACTGTCTAATGTCAGAGGGGGAATTCGGGCTAATAGTTGATAGAGAAATTGTACTTTTCTATCCCTAATTCCTTCTTCCAATTTTAAAAATCATTTTGGAGGATTTAAAGTGAACAATAATTTAGAAATACCTTCCCTTAAATATCTAATTCATCATTTTATAAATCCAATTCTTTCCATTTTATGTGAGGGAGTCCATTTTCCTCCCATGTATTTTTCCATTAAGATATCAGGCTTTGGGGACAGACCGACCTGAGACTGAATTCTGCCTCTACCACTTAGTTGTGTGACCTTGGGCAAAACAATTAACTTTATTCAGTCTCAGAATGCATATTGCTACATATTGGTAGAACAGGGACATTAAGACCTGCCTCGAAAGGTTGTTGCAAAGATTTATAATATAAAATGAGATAAAGTGGTTGAGAATCCAGAACATGGTGGCCTCAATGATATTATCACAAAAAAAAAAAAAAGATCCTTCCTGACCTCACCATCTGTCTCCACAGAGCATCACTCTCAAGCCAGCCAGAACCAGATGAAGTGGCACGTTGGAACAAATTCTGTGTTCCCATGAGAGGCAGGGAAGATCTTTCTTCCATGAATGCAAAGGTGCAACACAAAAGATCTAGGAGAGCCTCGCCCTTTAACATGAATTTCAAAGTAGAGGCCACAAAATGGACCTGGAGTTGGCCTTGAGTAGTTATCATCAGTACCCTATGGTCTGCCTCCTATGTTTACAGCCTAGTAAAATGAGCCCAGGGGATTCCAGATTTCCCTGGCCAGTCTAGTCCAGATGGGTACTCAGTGTGACCACCCCAGGATGGAGCCCCACATCGGTCTGTTCATCTGGGGCATCTCTCAGCCAGTCCTTTGGTCACCTTACAGCTATGTATTGATCATCTACTAAATCATTGTGGGTAAATCACCATGGAGCTAGAGGTGAACAGAACTTGGTGCCTGCCCTCAAGGGTTTGGGAATCTAGAGAGGGAGACAAGTCAACAATGGGCTGAACTATACTGGAAGACAAAGGGTGCACTAGTCAAGCTTGAAGCAGAAAGACAAGAGCAAATTTGTTCCACTTGGGACAAAGAAATTTCTCTAATGAGGGACATATGACTCAATCCTTAAATACTAAGTAAGCTCTTGTTAAGTGGAGGAGTGAGGGCAGGTGTTCAAGCCTGAGGAAGAGGCCCAAGGCACAGAGGCTTAAAAGTGTGAGTGGTGCATGGGGTGGCTGTAGACCATGAGAAAAAGATAGAGCTGTAGCTGACAGAGAGGACCCGGTTTAGAATGAAGGCCACGTTTGTTTTCCCCACTGCAGTGTGTTGTAGGGTACACACATAAGCTCTGGAGTCAGGCAGCCCAGGATTTGAATTTCACTCTGCCACTTTCCTACCTTTATGACTTCAGCCAAGTCTCTTCGGCTCTCTGAGCCTTGGTATCCTTATCTGTAAAATGATTGTCACAAAGGTTGCGTGAGATACGGGATAAAGTACATAAAGTGCTTAGCACAGTACCCAGTATATAAGCTGCTCCATAAGTTATATTAGTAATTTCATTTTTAAAAAATGAGATAATAGGAATAAAGGTAAATTACAACTAAATTGTCCTAAAGTCTGACATTCGTCTAATGCACTCGGTCATCTGCAGAATGCATTTTAAACTGCATGTTTGAAAGGCAGCAATGAAGAGTTTTCATGGGCTTTGGAGCTTGATATCCCTGGGCTGGAGTTCCAGTGCCTTCACTTACAAATTGTAAGGTCTCACACAAGTTACTTAACCTCTTTGGGACTCAGTTTCCCTGTCTGCAAAGTGGGGTAACAATGGCTGTCTCAACAGAGTTGCTGAGGACCTTAAATGAGATAACGGATGGAAAGTTCCTAGCACAGAGGAGGCAGGCAGCCAAAGGCAGTGACTATTGTTTCAACTGAAAGCTTTATCTCCTAACCTTCAAGCTTTTAAGGTTTATTTGTTGAAACTGGAAAATGTGGTCTCATTAGAACCATCAACTGTCACATACTCCCACCCATGAGGCCAGAGATAAGAGATGTTCTGCATCCAGTTGGAGCCAGCTTGCAAATGGTCCTCCCAGCTCTACACAAAGAGCCCCCTCACTTTGCTCTAATGTCCCCCAGCCCTGCCATCACCTTTACACAATCCATTTCCTTTCATTATTTTTGTCAGAGCTCTGAGATATATTCTTGGTCCAATTGGATCCCACCCCACGCCAAGTCCAATGGCAAATACCTAATTTGGCGATGAAACCAATCTCAACACAGAACAAGAGTCTGGTGAGAGTCCAGGGTAAGATGTCACGGTACGGGGACTAGAAGCAAGAGTCTGGAGGAAACCCAAGAGCTCCTGCCAGCATCACCCCTGATTGTGCGAGGTGGGCAACCTGCCTTCTCTACCCTCCACCACCACCACCCCACTGTTCCATCCATGAGGCCACAATCCTGAGATGGAAGGTGCTTCATCTCTAAACGTGGAGTGTTTACCCCCAAGGAACTCTAGGTATTGGGCTATAACTAAGAGGGCAGAAAGGCGCCAGGGAATGAAGTACCCTGGCAGGCTGAAGACAAACTCAACAGCAGCTGAAGGGCATCAGACTGTTCACTTGCTTCCAAGCATTAGGAGTCAAGAAGAAGCCCTACAGGAACCCCCCTGTCACCGTATATATCAGGGAGGTCATACCTGCTCTCTAAGTCAGGGGAAATGGAGCAGGTTTTCCAGCCACTGGCTTCATGGCCCATTCACTCTGGACAGCTCTGCATGCCGTTTCCATGGAGTTTCTCCTTCTCTGGGGCCAGTGATGCCAAATCCAGCAAAGGAGAAGTCCCCTGAAGAGCTCACAGAAGGGCAACCTAGCAACCTACCCTTGAGCCAGGAAATGAAAGAGCTATATCTGCGGCAGAGAGCTGTGGTTTGGGGGTTAGGGTAAATTGTGTTTCATTTCTCACACTTCTTCCTCAAACAAAAAAGATAAAGGAGGAAGATGTTATGACAGACTTCATTTGAACATCTATAATCCAAAGCCTCAGACTCGAAAACATACAGAGGCCAAATTCTTTGCTTACAATTTCAGGAAGGACCCCACATAGGAACCTCTGCTCTGGAGTTACATTTCATGACAGATGTGCTGTGGACAGATACATTAATGGCAGGCCCATTTACTTACAACTGTCAGCGTGACTTGGTGGTGTCAGGAACAGTGGTTCACAAACCTCTCTCACCTCCGAATCAACTATAGCGCTGGTTAAAAATACAAATCTCTGTTCCAAAGTATTTGCGTAAAAAAAAAAAAAATACAAATCTCACTCCTCACTCCTAGTCCTAGTACATCAAAATCCCTCAGAGGTAGGGCCCAGGAATATGCATTTCTAACAAGCTCTCCAAAATGATTCTGAGGCAGCTAGCCTTGTACTCATACGTTGCTGAATAGCATGGGTTCTGGATTCAGAGACTTGGTGCAAATTTTGACTTCACCTTGTAATTTTAGGCAAATCAATTTCACATTTCCGAGTCTTGTCTCCTTTGGCATCATAAAGGGCTGTAGAAATCATGTTATTTTTATAAACAGGCAGCATGTTGTAGTGTAAAAAAATAGTGTAAGAAAAGAAATAGTGTAAAAAAAATTGCCACAGTTTCCTTTTCTGTACAATGAGTATCATAAAGGTTGCCTTCCTCTTTCCTCACCCCTCTCCTCACTGCCTCCTCACCTCTTCCCTCAGCACTACCATCACATCCAGACTGCTATTGAGCTGGTCTGAGGCTACCTAGGTAAAAATGCTCTCCAGGCAGTGCAGCTGGGCAAAGAGCATCCACAGAATAACAGATGGGTGCAAAGTCGGGCGCTGTTACTTATTTGCTGTGTGACACAGGGCAAGATGCCTACCCCTCTGTGGCTCAGTTTCCTCATCTGTAAAATGGGGATACTAGTCCTTTCTCACTAATTCTATATGGTCCCAAGTTGGTCCTCTCATGCCCACTTTGGCTTTTCTCCACGTATTCTGACAGTATAGAGTCTTTGCAAGGGGCAGCCTTTGAAGTCAGACATGTTGACTTGGGTGTGAGCTCTTAGCTCTGCATTTCCTAACTGTGCTGCCCCGGGGCCTTAAGTCTTTTCTCTGTTGAATGGGCACATTGCTACCTCCTTCACAAGGCTGCTGAGAAGAATAAATGAGATGTCCGTGCAAGAGCATCTGCACACAGAAAGCGCTCAGTAAATGCTGTTTTCCCCCTTCCCCCTATACAAAGGTGAAGAACTCTCATTGTTCACATAGTTTCTGTCCCACCTCGTGTTTAAGGCATCCGGTCTCAAGGAGCAGAGGAGAGCCGAGGCGGAAGAGGATAGGAAGAAGGGAAGCGATGGGTAACAGCAAACTCACGGGTGAAATGTAAATGGGCCCGTCCGTGCGTCCCAGCTGCGCTTGACGCTGCGCTGGCTCCCGCGCCTGTCTGTCGCAGCCCCCGCCGGCCGGCTCCCCCTTCTTGCCAGCTTTAGCATCAGGGCCGGAGGCTGCGCGGGAGGCCGTCCCCGCGCCCCTCTGATTGGCCGCGCCGCCCCGCTCGTCACGCTCTTTTGTCTCAATGGGCAGAGGCTAAAAGCAGCCGCGGCCACTGGGAGGGCCCAACTGGAGGGCGGGGACTGCCTCCGCTGCCTTGGGAACCGCGCTGCCTCGACTCGGACACCCCTCGCTGGGCGGTCGTGCAAAGCGGCTCGGTCGGTCCTGCAGCCCCGGGTCGCTTAGCGGCCGAGGAGGCGCAGGCCATCCTTTCCCCCTGCAGGGCCGCGGACACCGGAAGGCGAAACAGAGCTGTGGACGCCAGAGCATCCGCTGCCCGGCAGCACAGCGCAGGTAAAGAAAGGGGGCGCGGGCACGGGAGGGGGAAACACCACCGGCACCCGGGCGGATCCCGGCCGGGAGAATCGGTAGCTGCGAGGCAGGGGAAGGAGCACTCCTGTGGCCCGGCTGCGCTGAGGGAGGAGGTGAGGTTCCCCTGGGTGCTGCCGACTGGGTAGGATTTGCCTGGATTGGGGAGGGGGGCGTTTTCAGGAAGGTGGCAAGGGGCGGGTAGGAGGGATCGCAAGCTGTCTGTCTTGAACCCCTTTTGCATCTCCTCATCTCTTCCTGAGAATATGGGAGCGGGAGGATATCCAACTTCTATCCCCGTTCTCCCTGGGCAGGTCATCAAAGCCGAATCCGAACTTGAATTCTGTGCGGCTGATTGCAGAGCTGGTAGGCCGACAATTTCCCAAAGGAAATGTCATGAGGGGCGCTTTGGCTCATAGCCAGAAGGGGGCAGAGGGAATTTTCCGCCTGGCAACGACGGAGGCTGGGGGAGGGGGGGCGGTTTAAGGTAGCAGGATGATGGATGACGCTGCTTCTGACCCTTCCCTTCCCTTCCTTCTGCGGCCCCACAGCCTTGAGGTCCTGAAGACAGGGATCTGCGACCCCAGGGGACAGAGGTCGACCGTACCCTGGAGGCGAGTTTTCTCACGAAGGGCACCTGTTGCAGAGGCTGGAAGTGAAATAAAGGCTGAACGCTAGTTCCCGAGCTCGTGTAAGAATCTGCAAAATAACTAGGGAAACTTCGACGTGGGAGTGTGGTTGACATCTGAGACCGTGAGGTTAATGCGGATCTTATTTATTACCAAAAATCTGGGCGCCTTTGTGAGATTCTCTATTTTGAGAGCCCAATATTGGCTCTAAACATTAGTTCACCTAGAATTAGAAGCAACAGTTGATCCCCCCTCCTGGAGTATGGGCAGGAGGGGATGGATGTGGCTCTGAAAAACGCCCTGCTAGCACAGGGACACCTGCTAGCTCTGGAAGGCTGTGATTGTCAGTCTTCTGCAGGGTACGTTTAGGGCGGTGAGCAGATACAAAATGCACTGCAGGGTATTCAGGAAGGTAGAGAATGCGACTGCAGACTGATTCCCCAAAGCCCACTACCGTATTAACCGTTTTGTTTTTGTTTTTGTTTTTTACAGTTCCTACTGAAATCCGAGGCAAGCACAGCCCAGGACGTCGCTTTGGGGATTTATGCAGATTAGGCTTTTCTAAAGAGCCTGAGCATCTTGTTTTATTCAGATACTCTAGCGTCCTCAGTCATGGCTAGCATCATTGCACGTGTGGGTAACAGCCGGAGGCAGAACGCACCCTTGCCGCCTTGGGCTCATTCCATGTTGAGGTCCCTGGGGAGAAGTCTCAGTCCTTTAATGGTCAACATGGCAGAGAGAAACATGAAGTTGTTCTCAGGGCGGGTGGTGCCAGCCCAGGGGGAGGAAACCTTTGAAAACTGGCTGATCCAAGTCAATGGGGTCCTGCCAGATTGGAATATGTCTGAGGAGGAAAAGCTCAAGCGCTTGATGAAAACCCTTAGGGGCCCTGCCCGGGAGGTCATGCGTTTGCTTCAGGCGGCCAATCCCAACTTAAGTGTGGCAGATTTCTTGAGGGCCATGAAATTGGTGTTCGGGGAGTCTGAATGCAGTGTGACTGCCCATGGTAAATTCTTTAACACCCTGCAGGCGCAAGGCGAGAAAGCCTCCCTTTATGTGATCCGTTTAGAGGTGCAGCTCCAGAATGCTATCCAGGCAGGCATGATTGCTGAGAAAGATGCAAACCAGAGTCGCCTGCAACAGCTCCTTTTAGGGGCTGACCTGAGTAGGGACCTGCGCTTCAGGCTTAAGCATCTTCTCAGGATGTATGCAAATGAGCAGGAGCACCTTCCCGATTTCCTAGAGTTAATCAGGATGATAAGGGAGGAAGAGGATTGGGATGACACTTTTATTAAACGGAAGCGAGCCAAAAGGTCTGAGCCAATAATGGAGAGGGCAGCCAGTCCTGTAGCATTTCAGGGCGCCCAGCCAATAGAGATCGGCAGTGCTGACTACAACTGTAACGTAATAGAGATAGATGATACCCTTGATGACTCAGATGAAGATGTGATCCTGGTGGAGACTCAGGACCCTCCACTGCCACCCCCGGGTTCCCTTCCCCTTACAGGTGGAGCCAGACTTCAGGATCAAGTGTTAGTCATTGATTCCCCCAACAATTCTGGGGCTCCGTCTCCTTCCACCAGTGGTGGTTCTGGGTATAAGAATGGTGGTCTTGGGGATATGCGTAGAGCCAGGAAGCGAAAATACACAACCTGCTGCTCATATTGTGGCGAGGAGGGCCACTCAAAAGAAACCTGTGACAATGAGAGCAACAGGGCCCAGGTTTTTGAGAATCTGATCATCACCCTGCAGGAACTGACACATACAGGAGAGAGGTCCAAAGAGCTTCCTGGAGAACACAGTGACCTCTCTGAGCCACAGTAAGGTGGTAGACCCAGCTCTAAGTGAACCCTTAACTATATTCAGTCTGGTCATGGGAAAAACAGGGATGGGGTGGGGGTGGGGTTCTAACTGCATGAATTATTCCATAAAGCAGTTTTCCTTTGAGAAGAAGAGTTCTTGCATACCAGCAGTGGAGGGGGGTGGCCTGATCTCTGTCCCTGCTCCCTCCTCTGCCCACTAAGGGTCTATTCTCTGTGTGTGTCTATTTCTTTGGTGACTTTATTCTTTTTATGAAAGTATCTTTTGTTAAATCTTCAGAAAATAAAGGAAAATACAAAAACTAAAGTACAAATTACGTGAACTCTCCACCCTTCTGTAACCATTGTCAGCCCTTTGGTGACTGTCCTTCCAGATAGTTCCCTATACCTATGTACCCAGATAGATATCTATGTATAGATAAAAGTGATCAAATATAAGTGCTGTTCTATACTGTGTATTTTTTCACCAAACAATATATCTTGTGGACTATGTCAATGAATATATATAAGCACCTAACTTAATGTCTGTGTGTGATGTTATTCTTAAAGAAAAAATAAAAACTAAATATAAAAGCTATAAGGGGGGTCATACCACATGGTGGGGTTATCAACCTCATTTACAGAAAAGGAAAAGAGAAGCTGAAACGGACTGTATATCTCCGGATGAGTCCCCACCACAACTGACCTGTCCCCTAGGTCATAGAGCCAAACTCTGCACCCACTAGTTAATAATGTCCCAATGTTTTCTTTTTTTTTTTTAATTTCGGCATATTATGAGGGTCCAATGTTTTCTTCTTGAATGCATCCTGAGAAGTCTGACCATGGAGGGGAGGGGGCAAATGTAGAAAATGGGTATTCCAGGTTCCTGTTCATTTTGGGAAGGGGCACCTGCTCCTGCTTCATCTCTTGACCTCAGATTGGAGGGTGATAAAAGATGATGTGTGACCTCCATCCCTGACGGTCCTATGTTCCTTGTAAGCATGGCATCCCCATCCTCCTGAACAGGACAAGGTGGGGGGCATGATTTCATTTAAGGCAAGGAGTGGGGTGAAATAAATGCAGACCTGAGGACCTGAGGGAGTTGGTTAGGAAGGAAAGAGGGGCTCCCTGGGCTGAGAAGACAGGGTGTGCAGCAGTGGGAGCTGGCACCTCAGGGAGAGGTAGCACAGACTAACAGGCAGTGGCCTGTTCAATAGGGACAAAGGGGTGCAAATTGAAGCCCTGAGGGAGTAGAAGCCAGGCACTGCCAGAAGCCTAATGCTGCTTTCCCTGGGTTGCCACACCCAGAAGCTGCTTGGAAATGCTTCTCCTTCCAGAATCACCCCCTTCAGCCCTGCCCCCGTTCCTGCTCCATCCATATCCTGACAAGCTCACCTTACCACCGCCTCCTCCCCTGGAGCCACACTCACCTCTTGGAGGAGGGGTAGAGGCTCCGCAATCTGGCGCTCTGCCCATCCCCACTCTCCCCTTCCCCCTCTGGCATTCCTTGTTGGCCTTAAACCTCCACCTCCTTAATCCTCAAGGCCAGTAGACTAGGGTCAGACTCTACCTCTGACCCTTTAACTGAGAACAAGGCAGGCACAATAGCTCAAGAAGCCCACTCCTTGCATACCTCTGGGGCACCTCTGGCACCTGGTAGCCACCTCCATCCCTCCAGAGCCAAAGGACCCCCCTCCCCCATGCCCAGGCAGGAGGCAGCTCCACTCAGGCTTCCAAAGCCACAGAAGCCCCCAACACTCCCTGGCTCTTACCCCTCCCTAAATCTTTCCTTGAAGGGGATCTACCCACTCATCTCTCCCAGATTAGGTCATTCCACTTCCTGCTCACCTTTTTCAATTTTGCTCTATAAATGCTGTTGAATGATTTACTCAGATACACAGTTTACGCTGCCATGATTTCTTTCTGAAACTAGGTAGAGTAAAAAGAGCAACAAGTGCTACATCTAGCCCCACCCTCCTTTTCACTCGGGTTAGTTTGAAGGTTCAAGATCATTGCTTTGAAAACTTGACTTGCTCTGCAATGCATCCCCTTTTCTTCTCTTTCCATCCTCTTTGTTGTATAGACTTGAAACTGTCTAAATTTTTATTTCACCAAAATGACGCAAAACTGATACTTTTTATTTCGTTTTGTGTGACACTGGCCTTTCTTTTATTCAAGAAGTATGAATTATCTCTAATGGGAAGACATGGAAGACAAGGGCTGATTAATGAGGTTAAGTGAAAGAAGGCTTTTAGAGAATTTGCTGTCCGATATCCTTCATTCAAAATTATCATTTTTCCCCCTTACTTTCTCCCGCCATTCTCAGTCGCTAAGAGATGAAAATTACTTTTATCTTGTCAGCAGAAAGTAGCCTGTGAGTGACCTCCTTTTGCATGATCTCCCTCCTTCTTGATACTATTTTCCCTTGTTTCCATGACACCCAGCTTGTGGTTTCCTTCTCCCAGATCTTTTCGGTGCCTACTTCTCCGTCTCCTTTGCTGAATCTTCTTTCTCTTCCTGATCCTTCCATAAGAGCAATAAAAATTAAAATCACTACAACTGTGATTTATTGAAAGCTTGATTATTAATATGTACCAAGCACCCAATGCCAAGACCTTTAAATACATGATTAGCTTTTTAATCTTCACAGCAACTCCTTTAAGATAGATATTACTATTCCTTTCTATTTATAGTTACTATTAATATTAATTACTATTAATTGATACATATTTCAGGTGAGGAAATAGACTGGAAAGTTAGGAAACTTACCTAAGGTCATGTAGCTATTTAGTGATAGAGCTGGGGATGAGACACCAGGCTAACTGGCCCCAAAGCCTGTGTTCCTTACTGGGGTTAGCTCTCACGTGCACAGTACCCTGTGGTGTAGGTGCTATTATTATATTTATTTGATGCATGAAGAAACCAAGGTGGACATAGTCAAATGTCATAGCAGCAAGTAGCTTGTGCGTCACACACAAAGATGAAGCCTTAAGGAATACTTGTTTGACCCAGGCTTTTTCCACCTTTCCTTCTCATTTCCTCCTTGTTGCTGCCATCCCTCCTGCTGCCTGGCAACCACCCCCTCCCCCCTTCGAGTTGCATTATCACATTCAGTTCAAGTACCAAGTTTCCAGTCTATGCTTTCAGCACAAATCGTTGTGAATTTAACTGACGCAAGAGGAGACAGCAGCAGAAGTCAGTGCGGCAGAGATGAATTGTTCAATAACTGGTGCTGGGGGGGGAGCTTCATTATCTGATTAGAAAAAAGGTCAGTTTACTTTCTCCCATGACACACTAAATGTGAATTCCAGATACATTTGAGAAATAAATGTAGATTTTGTGCAATTGTGCACTGATTCTTCTTTAAGTATATATTTTGTTATTATAAAAGGAATAAAAAAAACAAATGTTCAAAAGTAACCCCTTTTAAAACTACAACAAGATACATATTAAATCTCTGGATTGATGAGGACTTCATACGGTTAAGACCGATGAAAGAAAGTATAAAGGAAAAGATTGATAATTCAGGAGACAGCTTTAACAGAAATGAAATGTAAACAGCAAGCTGAGAAATATAGCAACAAATAACATGAAAAGGGGGTAGGGTGGGCAACAAATAAGAAAAACAATAACAACAGCAAATCTGTATTGTGTTTAGATGGCTAACATTTATTAACGTCTTACAAAGTGCCAAGCATATTCTAAGAGCTCTATGTGGTTTTATATTTCATTCTCACAATAAACCCTGTGATAGCCCCCAGTATCTCCACATTCTAAAACATTCTAAGGGAAAAAACAGAAAAGTGCATAAAATGTAAATATACAGCTTAACAAGGTATTAGAAAGCAAATCACCACAAAAATACAAGAAATAGAACATGCCAAAACTCCACAAATCCCTGAGAGTCCCCACCCAATCACAACCTCTTTCCTCTCTCCTAAAGGAAACCACTCTCATGACAGCTTTGACTGTTACTTTCTTGCTTTTTATAGCTTTACCACTGGAGTGTGGATCCCCAAACACCATAGTTTTGTTTTTGAACTTCACATAAATAGAACTATAATGCATGTATCCTTCTGTATCTGGTTCATTTCCCTTACAATTATGATTCTGAGATTCAACACTGTTGCATGTAGTATTGGATCATCATTTTTGGCATTGTGTTACAGCTTTCCATTCTATGAATTTACAAGAAATTATTTATCCATTTTACTATTGATGGACATTTGGGTTGTTTCCAGCTTGGGACAATTATGAAAAATGTTGCTATGAACATGTTCTTAATGTCTCCTGCTATACATGTGCACACACACGGTGTATATCTAGGAGCCGACTTGCTGGCTCATAGAGTATGTATTAATATATTTTCAACTTCACTAGATACTACCAAACTATATACCAAAGTTGTGCCAATTCCCACTTCTACCATCAGTGTTTGAGACTTCCTGTTGCTCCACATCCTCGCAAACACTTGACATTGTCAATAAAGCTTCACAAGTTTCACTTGAGGTTTATTAAATTTAGTCCAAGGTATTTGATTTTGTTTGTTACTGCAAATGTAGTATCTGTTTAAATTTCTCCCATGACACTAAATATGGATTCCAAATAAATTTGAGTAGGGTAAGATTAGGGTTATTGCTTGTTGATAGCATACAGAAATATAACTTATCTTTTGATCTCGATGTATATTGACTTTGCTCTCTTAATAATTCTAAATTTTTATCTGTAGCTTCCTTAGAACTTTCTGCATACAAGAGCATACTGCAAATAGTAGCAGTTTTATTTCTTCTTTTCCAACCAATATATATTTTATTTTTTCTTGCCTTACTGCACTGGCTAGCGCCTAGAGTACAAGTAGTGAGAGGGACGTCCTTGTCTTACTCTTGATCTCAAGAGAACCACTTTTTTTTTTTTTGAGACAGAGTCTCGCTTTGTTGTCCAGGCTAGAGTGAGTGCCGAGGCATCAGCCTAGCTCACAGCAACCTCAATCTCCTGGGCTCAAGCAATCCTCCTGCCTCAGCCTCCCGAGTAGCTGGGACTACAGGCATGCGCCACCATGCCCGGCTAATTTTTTCTATATATATTAGTTGACCAATTAATTTCTTTCTATTTATGGTAGAGACGGGGTCCCGCTCTTGCTCAGGCTGGTTTCGAACACCTGACCTCGAGTAATTCACCCACCTCGGCCTCCCAGAGTGCTAGGATTACAGGCATGAGCCACCGCACCCCGCCAAGAGAACCACTTTTAAGAATTCAACATGGAACATGATGCTTGCTGAGGTTTTTGGTAGGTACCATATATCAGTTTAAAGATGTTTCCTTCCATTCCTAATATACTGTAAGTTTTTAAAATCATCAATGGATGTTGAATTTTATCAAATGCCTTTTCTGTATCTATTAAGACTATCATATACTTTTTTCCCTCTTTGTTAATATGCTAACTAAATTACATTGTCTGGTTTTCTAATAAACCAACCAGGTATTCCTGGAATAAACCCAGTTGACTCCTGATTTATTATAATTGTCATTTATATATTGCTGGATTCAACATGCTAATATTTTGTTTAGGATTTACACATATGTATGTGTGTGTGTATATTCATAAGAGATATTTGCCTATAATTTTCCTTTCTTCGTAATGTCCTTGTCAGATTTTGGTATCAAAGATTTGCTAGCCTCATAAAGCTAGTTGAGGAGTACAATTTCTTTTTTGCTATGTTCCTTTGGTTTTTTCCATTTAAATATGAGGAAACTGAGGTCCAAGGTGTTTAAACAGATTATTTTTCATAATTGCATTATATCCTATCATTTGCTTATAACCATGATTTACTAAACGAGTCTCCTTGGAGCTGGTCATTACCTTGTTTACATTGTTTCACTATTATTATAAACCCACTGAGAAGAGCATCCTTACATAGGTTTGCACATGTGAACAATTATTTCCTGAGGATATATTCCTAGAAGTGGAGCTGCTGGATCAAGAACTATGTTCCACAAGAACCGGAGCTGAAGGGGAGGTAGCCCCGTGGCACAACTACTTTGGTAGTTCTGGCTCACTGTCAGGGCCTGTCGTCATCTCTTAACTTGCCTGAGATACCCTTTAACTCCGAATTACTAGATACTTTAATATTTAAAGGTTGATTCAGTTCTAAGAAACTCCTCAAATTACTTAAGTTTTCAAATGATTTTGAGGGTTTTTAAACATTTTTAATGGAACTTTTCAAACACACAAAAGCATAGAGGATGGTATAACGAACCCTCAGGTACCTATCACTCAGCTTCAAGAATTACCAGCATTTTACATAACTTGTCTCATCTATAATCTCTCACACTTTGATGGAGTATTTTAAAGCAATTATTAGACATTGTATTAAATGGTATCATTCTTCTGTATTCTATCCATAGTTATATCTCTCCTTCTTTATTCTCATATTTTTTATTGGGGTAAAAGTCACACAACACAAAATTAACCATTTTAGCCATTTTAAAGTGTACAGTTCAGTGGCACTTAGCACATATTCTAAATATTTTTTATTGTGTGCCTCTTTTTATTCTGGGTCAATTTTTCTATATTTTTAAATCAGTCTTTCACACAAGTTTACTTTTGGTTTAGGTTATTTTTCTATTATTTGTTTTCTATTTTATTAATTTCTATTATTCATTAGATCTTCCTTCTACCTTACCTAAATTATCATATCGAACATTTACTACATATATTTTTAGTCTTTTTTCACTTAAATATATGCAGCTTGGCCTTAAATTTACCTTTGAGTTCTGCTAGAGTTGCACTCTACAAGCTTGGAATAAAAGAAGATTTTTCATGATTGTTCAGTTCTATATGCTTTATTATCCATTTTCCATAGTATTTCATATCATTTCCCAAATTTACATGTTCAACTCTGACCTCTTCTATGAACTCCAGACTCGTACACCCCATTGTCTACTCAACATGTTCACTTGGAATTATAGTAGGCAACTCAAACTGAACAGAGTCAAAACAGCTCTTGAAAATCTCTTCCTCCTTCGGTTTCCTTTCAGCGAACGGCACTATCATTTACCAGCTGTTCTCCCAAATCGTAAGATGATGTTATCTCTGAACTCCCCTTAACCATCCATGTCAGCAAGTCCCATCATTCCATCTCCAAAATATTTCTTGCATCTATTCACCACTTTCCATCTCCCTTTTCACCAGCCTCATGCAAGCCACAATAACTCTTGCCTGGACTGCTGCTAACTGGTATAGGAGAGTCCATTCTCTTCCATCCCTGACTAATTTGCCTGACCACAGGTACTTGATCACTTCCCCACCAGCTGGAAACAGCTGAGATGCAGAAAGAACTTCCAGCTCCTCTCTATTAGAAGTCTGATGATTTCCTATTTCTTCAGTGTGCAGAGGGTGATGTTGGGGAAACATGTATCATGGTGATCTGAAAATTCTCAGGCATCATTTCTGAAGTATAGAAATGGAAGAGGTTCTAACTACAGTGAAGCAAACTGCCTGGGAAGGTTTGCCTCCAAAACAC